TTTAATCGTTCTTTAAAGATCTTCACTTATGGAGTGAAGAAAGATTCTCAGAACAGCTTGTGTTGATGGATGGCAGATTTAGTGTGGCAGTACAGAGGCAGGATAAAGCTGTGGTTGATGTTCTTGCTCAACATAGAGAGATAAACTAAAACCATCTGCACTTGAATCTATGCACTTAAAAAAAGAAAGAAAGAAATCACAATATGTATCAGTATGTTACTGATTTTCATAGCATAGTAACCTGAATCCTATACTCTGCATCTTTCAATTAAGGCATAATGGCAGATTAAATGTGTAATTTAAAATAGACATTATATATAAAAGATACACCCTTCACCTTTAAGGCTCTGCAATCACTGGTCAATGTACTTTTTTAAGTGGGTGCTCAGTAAGTGTTGGTGTGTAGAGCTGATAGTTAAGAACTCAGCACTCAAAGAGAGGAACAGTGTTTTCCATTTAAAGCTATACAATGACATACTCAGAAACACCTCAAACAGTTGTACATCAACAGATAAGTGGATATTTTTATAATGCTATCTTTGTATTTGTCCTTTGAGTCATGTTCAAGAACATTAATAACAAGAAGAACATACATAAAAGTTTTGTTTTCTATTTTAGAGAGCTTCTTGCAGAGCAAAACATGTTTGTAGTTCATAACATTTGCTTGCTTCTGTTGCTTCCTGTGAGCTATGATTTCCCAACAGTCTTTTCTAAAATCATCAGACATTTTTTGGTTCTTTGAAAGAAAAACAAGTCCTACTCCACTGCAGTATGTTTATTTTTTTGTGAGTTCCAGATCTTTGCTTGAAGCCTGTCAACACAATGAATCCAACTTGCTTTAAGTCTGTCAGAAAAATAAATACAACTTTTATAAGATGTCCTCGCCTTTTCTGGGCCTGTATTTGGTTTAGAAAACCATAGAGAATGATCAAGGAACCAAGCCTTTTTCATTTTCCTAGACTGGTTGGATGAAGGGGCACTGAATTTTCTCAACCAGCTGGCATTTATAACTCCATAAGACTGGGCAAAATCACAGAGGTCATAACCGCTGTTAAAACTGCCACAGACGACAGTGGCTGTTCCCTGTCCAGACAGAGCATGCTTTGCTGAATAACACATTGTACTGATGCAGTAGGGCATCTGTTCATATATCAATCGCCTGATTTATATAACATTTTATATAAAAACTTTTTTTCTGGACAGATTTATGAGGTGATAAAATGAGATATCCAAAATGCCCTCTGTAAAACCTTTAATGTTTAATGTTGTCTCTATCCATTGATCAGATTTCTGTTCTGGACAGAAACACACAAATTCTGCACATTTAATTCAATAATGCCTATTCTGCACATTTAAACATGCCTTTTCAGAACACTTGCAATACAAAACAATAGCCATAATTTACTGTGAATTAATCAACTATAAGGATTGGGAAGCATGGTGATTTTAGTTAAATTCACCTGTGTGTGGAAAAAAATGTAAATAAATAAAAACAGTTGAAAACTTTAAATAAATAATAAAATGTTGTTTATCATAAATAATTTAGTATGAATAAATTATGAATAATGAATAATTAGGTACTATTGACCCTAAAACAAAGGACAGAAATAAAGAGAGAACAAACACTAAACCGATTACAGAAATGAGGAGTCCCAAATCATTTTTAAACCTGTGAACGACCTTGCCTGGTGACGTCATTTGAGAAAGCCAATCAGATTAAACTGTGGCAATGTTTCGCCCATTGCTACCAGGAGTGGGGGGGTGAAGCCAAGAAGTGTTCTTTCTCAACCGCCGTGCTCTTACAGTGAAATGCAGAGGAATAAATTCAACATAGACTGAAAGTTATACGTTATTGCCTTGTGGACTATTATCATCTGATACGTGACTGTTTACTCGTGAGAGAAATATTAAGGTTGGATTTGTTTCCTCCCCCTCTGCTGCTCCTTAGTGTGGGTCCTCCGTCTCTCTCGCATTAGCGCCTTTCTGCTGCTGCAGTATGAACGGACACAGGCGGACCGATTTAGTACACGCGTATATCTCGGTTAAAATGTTTGGCGCTTGATTGGGATTTTGGGAACGACTTCAAGACGGACACGTGGAATAATAAATAATGTCACTGCTTTGAAATTCGTTCTTGGGAAGTGCACAGGCAAAAGCGTGTGCTTGTTTATTATTGGATCTATGAAATAAAGGTAAGCACCGACTGCGGTGATTGTTGTTCAGAAACGGCTACTTTTGCTGACTGGTGGTGTGAAGTCCGACTCATTTCAGCGAACCGATTCTTTTGAACAGTTCGTTTTAAAGAACCGGGTCAAAAACCGATTCAGTCATTTTTACGTCATTTTGCTTTAAAACGTTCCATATATTGTCGTTTAATTAGTTGTTTTCGATTAGGTTTTATTAATAAGCGTGTTTATAATCATGTATCCCAGTTCAGCCATGATTCAGCTCATAATAACAAAGTGATGTAGAACCTAAACATATTTTGCACTTGCATTAAAATAAATTCATAATCATCTCTGGCTTAAAAAGTTTTTGCGCGTTATAATTAACTTTTGTTTACTAAAAGCAACTATTTCTTATATGTCGACAAAACTGTTGTGTTAAACTTGCTCCCAGAACGTTTCTGCGATTCATCTGTTAAAGTAATTTCGTCCCATCTGTCAAATCCTCGGTTCACCCCACAGGCTCATAGTATCAGATCAGTCATCAGTTGTCGGTTCTTTACGTATCGGACATGTTTGAAATGAACTCTTCTCGGTTCATTGAATCAGTGAGTTGTTGACTGGAAAACCGCTCGGTCCAGTTCAGTCCGATTCGTGAACGAATTGTTCAGACCGGTTTTGTATAGTGGTTTCATGTAAAAGATCCGACCCAAAAGAACATCCCTATCGCTAGTAAACGGAGATCGCAAACATCGCATATGATACGCGTACTCTGTCAAACTCTCTTACGGAGATAAATAGTTAAATCTTTTGACACACTGACCAACATTAGAATAAGATGAAAAGCCGGTCTTTATTTATTATTTAAGTTTCAACGGTTGATAAGCGTTTCGTTTCATAGCGAAATTTGAAATGACTCGCGTACTCATTCCAGCGAACCTAAAGTTAGACGCCGGTTTGTTTACATTTTATAATAACATTCATATTGAAGAAGTAACGTAGTTCACCTATAAATAAAAATGCTGTCTTAATTTACTCGCCCTCCTGTTGTTGCAAATCTGTATTACTTTATTTCTTCTGTAAGACAAAAAAATGTACGCTGCATGACAGCCCGAGTCATCATTCACATCCATTGCATATTTTACATACTGTGAAAATGAACGGAGAATTGAGACATATTTTGTGTTTAACAGAAGAATCCAAGGCTTAAATCACTATGATGCGAGTGAGTAAAAGGGGGATTTTAATTTCTCTGGGAACTGTTTCTTTAATAAATAATTGGTCTGCTGTTTGTGTACATTGACATGTGGAACTATTTCAGTGGACATAAATTAATCTGTATAATGCTTGTTAGTGTTACCAAAAATATACAAAAACAACAAATGGTGGTTTACTGCTTGTGTACAAAATGCGAAATAAGATATTTAGTGAATTATGCATGTTTGTTTAGACTGCTGCATTCCATGCAGGATTCCTCTGGTCCATCAGGGAGAAATGTGTTGTGTCCTCACTGAACTAACCCGTTAGTGAAGGTTATTGCATCATAACCTGTGCTTCTGATAATCTCATCATGCTGTGTTGTTTGCCCATGACCAATCATAAGATAATGTAAAACTTGACATTGACTGAGACTCTATAATCTGACGTCTGTCTTGCTGACCCACATTTCCATAATGGGCCTTTTTCCCATCCCATGAAGACTCTCTATGTGGCACAACATTTTTTTTTTATTGATTTGATGTTGATATTTAACACTGATGCATTGCAGGCATGCTGTTTACATGCAGGAAATAAAAAAAGTTAGTTCTTCTGATTGACTGGTATTTCAATATGGATTGTCTTATGTTAACGTTATAATTTCCTAATAATTTAGTGAATAATGCATGTGTTTGTTTAGACTGCTGCATTCCATGCAGGATTCCTCTGGTCCATCAGGGAGAAATGTGTTGTGTCCTCACTGAACTAACCCGTTAGTGAAGGTTATTGCATCATAACCTGTGCTTCTGATAATCTCATCATGCTGTGATGTTTGCCCATGACCAATCATAAGATAATGTAAAACTTGACATTGACTGAGACTCTATAATCTGACGTCTGTCTTGCTGACCCACATTTCCATAATGGGACTTTTTCCCATCCCATGAAGACTCTCTATGTGGCACAACATTTTTTTTTTATTGATTTGATGTTGATATTTAACACTGATGCATTGCAGGCATGCTGTTTACATGCAGGAAATAAAAAAAGTTAGTTCTTCTGATTGACTGGTATTTCAATATGGATTGTCTTATGTTAACGTTATAATTTCCTAATATTATTGAGAAGATTATAAAGTAGCAAATACACTGATGGATCCTTTTTTACATAAACCATCCTTGCGTCTTTGTTCACAGTCAGGTCAGTGAAAAACCAGAGCGAGGAAGACTCTTTTGCTGACTCAGCTCAAACCCAGCTGATTATTTTGGCATCTACACCAGGCTTAGATTAGATTAGATGTTTGACTTTCTAACAGCAGCCATCAGTGGGAGAGAGAGGCTGTTTGTTTTTTTGTCCTGGGAGCCAGACATGAAAAGACTGTGGGGTAGATCTACTCAACTGTGACCAGTTAAACGAAAGTTAGGTAACATTTACCAGTAAGAAGACCCAATAGATTGCCTTTATGGAGGTCCAGCGTGATTTATTTACACTAGTTCTCCTTTGCAGGCTGGCAGATAGTGAAAGATCATGCTGTGGGCACTGAGTTGGCCTTAAAAGGAGATGTCCGCAACTCTTGGCTATAGGCCTATTGTTTAGGCAGCTAAACTTCAGGGATTTATTGCCAACATTTTTGATTTTCAAATTGTGCACTAGCTTTGCCAGAGGTTGTAACGGAAATGTCACAGAAGTGGAATTAAAGAGATTTAGTTTACTTCATGCGAATGTAGAGACAGAGTAAGTTCTGTTCATGTCTTCTGTTTGAATGTTTTCTATTCATTTGAATTGTTTTAAATTAATTTAAAAATTGAATTTATGTGTGTAATCTATCAAGATGATTAAGATTTTACTTATCAAGTATGAATTAATCTATCTATCTATCTATCTATCTATCTATTAGACTTGTGCCGGTATTCGGTAATGCGATATATCACGGTAATGAATATGCACGATATTGTTATCGTGGGCACTTCTAAATACCGTGAATAATTATATATTACAAATTATTCAGAATTTTGTTTGCATGCTAGATTTGTTGAGTCGGCTTTAATGGAATATTGTCATATACTTATGTATGTATATTCTTATTGTTTTTGACAAAACAGTCACACTTAATATCAATATTGAATATGTTTTAACTGGAACTGTGATGTTCTGTATGGTCTGGCATTAGAAAGCTGTGGAAATTCAGAGCGAGCCACATTTGAAGTAGAGGTCTGCATTCCCGCGGCTCTCCCGCGGGAACCACGGGACCCGACCGGATTTTTTGCACCGTGGGATTAAATTCCCGAATAAAACGCAGTAGCGGTCAGTAACTCTGGTGTAATTTGAACGGGAGCGGGCGGTCTAACAATATCCCGTTCCCGACGTCCATTTAGAACCGTGAGATTCTGGAAACGAGATCTAATAGATCTCGAGATCTTTAGCGGGAACGGTCGGGTCGGGAAGAAAAAAACAGTCCCGCGCAGACCTCTAATTTGAAGCTTAGTTTCAGTAAAAGTCTTTTTGCACTGAAGTTTTAATTTCTCTAAATGTCTGTATGTTTTCATAGTATCAAGTGCTTTTTACCAAAAATAATCCCCTTTAAGCTCCCATAATTCTATTTTAAAGTTATGCCAGATATGCAAAGCATTCTATTATATTTAGACTTACCTTTGGCATTGCAGTAATCTTAATGAGTATCGTTTAACATGGACTTCAGAAGTATCTTATCTCAAAGGGTGTATTTCTTTTTTTTTTCTTGGACTGAACCTTCATCGTTTGGGTGATGCAACCCTCTACATTGCGAGTAAATCACTCGCATATGCGACTAAATCTTCTTCATTTACATATAACAAAAAGTTCTTTTGGAATTCTTCAGCTTTTAAGAACTGCCGGTTTTCCTGTAGTGGGCGGAACTAATGCGCAAACGACAATCTCATGTGTGTTACGCGTTTTTGCTTTTTGTTTTTGTGAGTGCTTTTGGGATAGTAGTAGTGAGCCAGTCTTCCTTTTAAGATCAGTTTCCATTATTTTTGCAGTTGTCCTCTCGTTGACTCCACAAAAGAAGCTTTTATTTCACTTGTCACCTATAGTTTGCTAAATAGCTGTTGGATTGTAATGCAATTCAGTATGTGTCTGTTTTCATTCTAATGAAAGTCCATTGAAGTGCTTAGCATCTGTCTGAGAGTTTTGGGTTACAGGCCTATTGAAGATCATTTTGTATTCTGTTCACACTTGGAGTCCACCCTTTTCCTCTGCTCGGTTGGCGCAAGCTCCTGACTTCAGTTTTGCATTTTTTGTTTCCCCCTTACAATGTTTGAGGTTAGGATTTGAACCATGGAGGTCGGTCCTCAGCCAGTACTTCAGGAGAAATGTATCCTCGGCCCCTTGGCATAGTTAAAGGTGGTGAGAGATCACAGATGTTGGAGTAACATGCATGTCGAAGCAAGAAAGGTTTCAGGCTGCAGAAGCTTGGTCAAAAAAAAATTTCTTGGAAGTTACTCATGAGCTCCTCATTTTTATTGCGGTTATGTTTCCATGTTGTTATTTTTCAGAATAAAAACTGATGCTCTTGTAATAGCCTACATTTAGGCCCAGATGGAATTTGCAAACTTAATTTGTTTGAATGGGTTATGATTTGTAAAATATTTTTGCAGAGAGTGCTAAAGTACTATCTTATGCATTCTCTCGTAGTCAAAGGTTTAATTAATTGTAGCCAAATATTGAATAAACCAATATGCAAGAGATGGGAATGTGTAGAACTTTGTTAATGTCTATGTTTGGATTTCTGTTTTTTTCGGTAGCTTCTGCCTGTGTTTGCTGAAGATGAGCTGTCAAACCAGTACTACAGT